AAATGGAAAATGTTTATGTTTACTTTTTATCTCTCACCTTGAGCATAATACATGCTTCAGTATCAAATGTCACCCTGCTATGATAAAGGTCTTACTCGAAATTTGAGAAATGGGAGAAAATATGCAATGGCTCTGAAGTGAAACTTTTGCAGCGGTTCTAAAAATGTGACAGATGATGAATCAATTCTTTATTGTTGCTTGAGTGAGACGTCACTTGTAAACGCAGACAGTTTAGTGATTATTGCCAGTGGCATGCAGTCTTCAGATGTTGTTTTGCGGTATTCCCCTCTCTAAACAAGCATGACCAGTTTTGTCACCACAGACATTTTTCCGCTTCAACAAAACATAATATTATTCAGATTTTTAGATAACGTTAAACTAAAATTTGTGCTAAAGATGCTTGACGGAAGATTAAGCTGCACCTATGTAAAGTATTTGTCGAGATGATAATGATGATCTAAATACACAATATTCAAGAATGTTTATGTTTATGTAGACAATTAAAAGTTTTAAAAACCAAGAAAAGTGGCAGTGCATAAAGTGATCCTTTCCATAAATTAGGGGTTTTCAGTATCACTTATAAACCAATGCAAGGGTAATTTGTGTGTGTGTATAAGCCTATATATATAGTATATAATTCATATAAATATATATAAAAATGTTTTTTCCACATAACTCTGAAGCTAATGGAGATATTTTTACCACAATTGACACAGGACTCACTCTGAGGACACATAAAAAATTGTGGGACTGAACATCTTGGTGGCGGTGCTATAATAGATCAAACCGACTTTGATACAGTTTTGTGATGTAAAACGCAATACTTTTTTACGCACGATTTCGAGACAGCGCCACCTTTTGGTCAAAATTGTAATAAAATTTCCAAAAATGCTAATAACTTTTGAATATTCTGTTTATTGAAATATCACTAGTCTTAATCCTTGAGTCACCCGAGAACATAGATACCAAATTTGCTGTATTTTGGTTAACTTCCTGTCCGCTATCTTGATTTTCATTTAATAGCCTACCTACTTTTTCAATCTTCTCCTAGACCGTTGGTCTGATTTTCACCAAAATCGAATCGTATCTCCAGACTGTGCCGACTAAAATTTATGGATTTTGTGGTGATAAACGAAACCATTTTTGTATACCACAGCAAGCATCAAAGTTGAGGCATGCTGCCAAAATGATTATTCAGGCTTTATCTCTGCAATGCCTTCTCATTTTGACAGCAAACTTTGTCAGTCACCTCATTCTGATGACAACGCATCGATTTCATAACTTCGCCACCTATTGGCCGAAAGTGATAAACCAATAAAGAGCACCTATCATGGATTTTTGAAAATGACTGTTCATGTAGTGTGGACTTTAGCTCTAAGGGAATGAAAACATCCTGCAAAGATTTATATCTGAAAGTGCACCGTATATAAAGTTATTGTCTTTCAAAAGTGAGAGTCGACTCTGATTCTATGAAATGAATTGTTTTTGAAACGAGTCATTAGCTGTTACATCGTGATGTAGATAGGTCATTGGCCGCTCCCAACAACTGCGCGCGCATACGGAAGTGTAAACTTGAAGTGGGCACCTGACCTCAGTAGTCACGGCAACAATAATCAGACACACCTGAATTAATCAAGTTTGTCCAATAATAACAGACAGGAAACAAGGAGCAGGCTGAAGTTCAGGAAGTAGTTCAGATGTGCATAAAGCCACAATTTCGACAGATTAGAAATGGGTTTGAACAAAATGAGCTCTTTGCCAGACTAACTTGTAGGGCAAATCTAAATTTGCCAGAAGTTGTCTGGGTTTTCCCAGGCTAGTTTTTTCATCCATAACGTTGCCGTAGATTTTAGCCTACACGCACAATCTAAAGTTCAAATCTGTGCGTACGCACTTTTTGTAGGTGTCCACCACATACTTTCTGCAGTAGTGTTCCAAGACAGCATACTTGTTAACTTCCTTGACATATTTTTAGTGCACAACAATCGAAGTCCCACATCTACTGGTACGTTTGTTCCTGTGAAATTTAAGATGCAACACATAAATGATTCATGTTCTGTCTGTTTTTGTCTGTATGCCAGTCACACACCCCCTGTAAACCACAAAGAGTGATTCAAATGTTATGAATCAAACAGAGCTGACGTCTTTTGGTGGGAATTTAGTTTTTTGGACTTTACGTCTCACGGAAATAATGTGTGAACAGTTACATAACACTTATAAAAGAAATATATAGTGTTATAGTGTTAAATTATACAACATAAAAACGTTTAACTTTTCACCGTTTCACTGAGCAACGTTTATCATAAACTTTTATGTATCATTAAACAGTTCCAAGTCTGTGCCAGTAATCGTCGATTTGGTAGGGTGTTCAGGGACCTGGTATGGATCAATTCCAGTGGTCAATTTTTGTGGGGGTCTTGGTATCTGACTGACCATGGACTTTTGTATTCAAATCCATTAATTAGCTGTTCATAAGGTTTCTGCATTTCACTTCACTGCGTTTTAAATGCTTTTCTGTGCAAATAAATGGACACCTTTGGCTGTTGCGGATGAGCGTTGTCCATAAGGGCAAGGGTGAATCTATAATTGCAGATACATTTGGTGTCTTTTTTTCAAATGGTTATATTTTTAATTATTTCAGTCATTATCATGGATCACAAGATGTTACAGCCCATAACAATATATTTTGTTTAAAAGGTGTCTTACATAGATGAAAATCATGATTTCTTGTCCAAATTAGTTAATGTATTTTTTCCCCGTCATGTAAAATATTTAATTTAGGTAATATTTAATTTATAAAAATCCTTAAAGGTATATTTTCCCAAATTCTACATCATTTATTGGTTCAAAATATCTTTTATGAAATTTTGATGTGATTTAATGATTCAAATTGGTCTATTAAACAGTCCATAAATCTTACATCAATTCTGTTACATACTTTGCTTTAAATTGGTGAAATCTCCCCCAACTATTGAAGATACAGGAAATCGTTTTTTTTCCCTCACTGATACGATCTGAAGCACTGAAAGGTGTGCGTGCTCTCTCTGAGAAAATATTTTTATCTAAAATGTTCTTACACAATGTCAGTTGTTACCACAATATCAAAAGGAAAATAGAATTTATATCACACAGTGGGTTGTTTAAAAGTCTTTTAATCATGATTTCATTAGTACAGGGGCCCATTTCAATAAGGAGGTTCAACCAACTCTGAGTTAAAGCTTGAACTCTGAGTTGACTTACCCTGAGATCGGAAACTCTTGAGTTTTCGGTTTCAGAACAGCTGAAATGAGTTAGTTCAATCAACCCTGAGTTGACTGACTCTGAGTTAAGCGCTTGCGCCACAACTATAAAAAGCCATTATCAATGGAGCACAGATATTATGAGTCACCATGGCAACAGCGCCAGACAAAAAGAGGTGTTTGGTGTTATTAATTACCAAGTAATCTAAATATTGTAATTTAATTAAAGGGATTACTCTTAATTCTTCTGTAATTTAAAATAAAATATGATGCAATTACATTAAATAGGCTACTACATAAACCAATTAAGTATAAAACAATAGTGGATTTAACATACATTTTTAAAAGGTATATTTTTTATGTAACCTTCTCCCTCTACACACTTTGATCAATTCAAGAATATTTCATGCAATTGTATATTGTGAATTTGAAAGAATTAAAAGTGCAGTTTCATGTCTCTTCTCTTTGTATTAATCAAGTGGTTGAGGTTGAGATTTAGCAATTAGTAATATGTAGACCAATACTTTCTAGAGATAGTAGCCTGATTATTACATTAATCTAACTACACCGTTGAAGATGTCAGTTAATAATTCATATCTATTTTAGAGTAACTTACTGTTATAATATAGAGGTGAAACTGGAAGAATGTTATTCAACCTAAAGTAGGCTACTATTACTTTGATAAAATTTTACTTAAGTAAAAGTAAAAATACCAGTCTAAAAATCCACTCAAGTAAAAAGTAGTTAATTTAAAACATGAGTAAAAGTTGATGAGTAACTTGTGGGGGTGGGGTGGGGGACTCCCCCATGTGGGGAGAGTTGAGAAACATCTCAGAAAATATCACGGTTTATGGTACTAAACAATTATTAAATATATAAACTGCATTCTTAAATTACGGTTATTATTATCATCAGTTAAAATGACAGTTAAATAAATTAAACATTTGTTCAATAAAACATATCAACTAACTTCAATAATTGATTATGAATAAGATTAACATCTTATTTTTTATCATTAATAACTTATTAAATTATGTTTGAAAAATAACTGAGTTCTATTAAATGTTTTTTATTCCAATTTTTTTAATGATTTAATAGAAATATATTATCAAAAACGGTGGTAACCAAATAAAAGTTTAGCAAACGTTTTAAATCCTTTTATTTTTTGGCAAAGTGCTACAAAACAGATTTAGTCAATTAAACCATGGACAAACAATATATATTCCTTAAAGAATGTGTAAATACATTTGAGTATTATTGTTGGTGTTTAACAGCACTTCCTCTTTAAAAAAGGGGAGGAGACCGCAAGAAACTCTGAGTTTACTGAAGAAAACCTGCTCCCGACCAGGTTAGGTTCACAGAGTAAGTTACCATGGTAACTGACTCTGAGTATAAGTTACCTCTCTTTCAGAAATGGGCTTGACTTACTCTGCTGTCTCAGGTTTAACTTACCTCCCTTTCTGAAACGGAAAACCCAGAGTTTCCCTCATTTCAGGGTTAACATACTTAGAGTTTTCACTTAACCTCCTTTCTGAAACAGGCCCCAGAAGCGTATTGCATTCACTTGAAGAAAAACAAATCAGTTTTTCTGAATTAATCATCTCAAAATTACAAGATAATTTTTCATGGAAAATAAGTTTTTGCTGTTGTTCTGAACTAATGACTTAATTATCTCAAAAACTCAGAAAAACTTTTGCATGCGCTTCGCAAGAAAGACTATATTCAGCACCTTATTGCTCAAATCAAACCACAGTACACTTATTTAAATGTGTAACAGAACATTTTATTTGTTTACATTATTTCACACAATACCAACATTTGTCCTCGAGGAAAGCAATGATCTCCTCTCCTCTATACTGAAGGGTTGTACCAATGATAACTTAAAACACAGATGGGGTTTTTATCGTATGCAAAAAACAAAAAAACAAACAAACCCAAACTTAGAAAACATTGTACAAACATGAGAAATTTTACAAAACTATACACAATTGAATGTGCTTGATAAAGTTTCATTTTACAATCTCAATTATGTTTTTGTAAATATACTGACTTTCCATTATTATAACTCTTATTTGGATCAAACTTGTTTCAAAGGAAAATGGGTGCAAGTGATTCACAGGCAGAATATGAGGAGGAAGTAAATAATCACGCCAAAAACAAAGAACAGAGGAACTTTGTGCCAGACAGGTTTCATGACAAAGGCAATCTTCTGTATGTAAAATTCAGTTGAAGCGACTAAAAAAATAAAAGAATTTATTCATAAAAGAAATATTAAAGAATATTTAGTCATTTTTGAGCACTAGTGGGGGACATGAGAAAGTTCTTCGAATGAAGAATGCTATAAAAGACGCTTTCCTTATATTAGTATTTCACCGCACACCAAGACAATTTCACTGAAAAACTTCCTCCTCCTATCCTCAATGTATATATAATATACACATTTCACTACATCTCAAACACTTTCTAACATGTGACATTAAATAAATCAAATTAAAGCCAGTCAGCACAAAAAGAAACACCTTCAGGTGAGATGAGAAACCCAATGATATGCATACATACAAAGAACTGCATCTTAGTGATCATGTGACCACACATAAATAATTTCATGCGACGCTTTTAATGCATTAAAAGCTGCTAATGCAACTAAAATGCTTTAACAGCATTAGCAAAGTGGGTGCTGAGAGGAAGTGGGCTATGTGCTGGTCTCCCAACAGCCGGAGCCCACAGACCGGTTCCTTCCAAATAGCACAATAAATACGGCTATGAATCTCCAAGGTCCGCAGTTTGCTGCTAGTTAACAAAACGCCAAAATAAATAGTGTAACTAGGCTTGACATGCCCTCAGGATGGATGGGTGTGATGGAACACAAAGTTAACTAATACATCCAATGCAAATGTATCAACGCAAATACATTAGTTGCTCTGTCTGCCCAAACAGTACAATAGACCTTATGGTTTCTACCACCTCAAAATTAAATATTTGTTTGCATAGACGCATTTGCTTAGCAAGAGAAGAGAACTGTCAGAACTAAAGGCTGGGTGTGTGTCAAACATTTTGTTTTCTGATTGAAGAGGTAGTTTCACATTTCTCAAGGGACATGGAGTAAAGTTTACTTTACAGGACACCAGTGCCAAATGTCTAATAATAACAACAACAATAATAATAAAAGCAAGATGCTTTCTGTAAGTCTCAACTGGACTTAAACTACACACTCTGAGCTTTGCCCTCCTTGGTTCACCTCACAGATCTTCTCTCTCTATAAAAGAGCTTGGAAGATGGGCAGCATGGAAATAGAAGATTTAGTGGGTTGGGTTGGGTTTGGTGGGGCGCAAGTGTCATCTCTGCTGTGAGTAGCGGCTCCAGGCCTCCGTGTCTTTGAGAGAGGCTGGAGCGGAGGTCCTGCGCTACAGAGAGGGAGGGAGAGGAGACTCCAAGCAGGATGGATGAAGCAAGGCCTGAAGATTGGCCAGTAGAATAGGTGTAAGGGTTAGAGCTGGAAGCCCTCCATCGGTCCCTCAGGCTGCTGGAAAATGTACTGGCCCTGATTCTGATCCACCTGGGGAACGATGCTAGCGTCTTCCTCCTCCACCCCAAAGTAGTGCTCGATCAGGTCAAAGGCCTTCTGGTAAATCTCCTGGTTCTCGTGGCTCTGCAGGAACTCAATCTTGTCTAAGCCTGGGTCGGGCAATTTAACAAACAGCGTGGAGAGGGAAAAAAGTGTTTGCATGAATGAAAAGCATGAAAATTCAAATGTTTAGATAAAAAATAGGCTTGCAAAAACCAGTCACTAATCAAACACAAATATGCTATTACTTAATACAGGGTTCTTGCACACTTTTTAAAGTAAAATTTAAGGCTTTTTAAGACCTTTTTAAGACCTGAAGAAATCAAAATTAATACCATACATTAGGGGTGTGCGATATTGACAAAAATATATCTCGATATTTTCACATTTTGTCGATAAACACAAAACAAAAACAAAATCAGTAAAATATCAACTAATTATTATCAACAATAATTAGTTGATATTTTACTGATTGTGTTTTTGTGCTGGTGCCATGGCTGGTTTAGGCCTGTTGTTGACAGCAGACTCGCGGAGATATTTATATTTTTCATATTCTATGCAGTGGTCAGTTCACAGCAGTGACAGAAATTATTAATTAATGTGCAATATTTGCCACCTTAAATTGATTTCCAGGGCATTTTCACCTATTTATGGAGATTTTTTTTTCTAAACTGATTTAGAGTTATGCATCACGTGCATCACATATATACAGTAATTATACTTATTTATACAATAATATTTCATTACACAATAATTATACAGCACCACTGTTAGCAGTCAAATTAAATCATTCAATCAAAAATCCATCTTTGCAGTGCAGAGTAGACGCAGAAGCAGCCTTAGAAGTGGCATTAATATATAGACTCCATTTACAATTGCATAAATCAAGCTATAAGGTTTTTTAAAAAAAAAAAAATCAATATTCAATATTTAAATGTGAAATGATTTCTTATTTTTACTTTTAATATGAAACTAAAACCGCCAGTAGGCGGCGGCAAATCGCTGTCTTAATAAGCGAGTTGAGGGAGTCATTCATTCAACCGATTTGTTCAAACGGGAAAGAAGCAAGTGATTGAATCGTTAAAATGACTCGTTCAAGACGCGGATTTCCTTCAAGAAATCATCGCTGTCTGTTGCATTGAGACTCTGCTATGGTTTCATTTTGAAATTCTAGTCGGCGAAATAAAGGGAAAACAAACAATATCGATAATGTTATGGCTAAAAACTAACTCAAAATGTCACTTTATTTTTAATTTAACTATTGTATAACATAGAGAACACTTGTGCACGGGAAAACGGCACTCTTACTGATGTGATATTCTAATATAACAACATGATATAAATATAAGGCAAAAATTTGGGGACATACCTATAACCATAATAAATACATGTCTATGCCTATAACTGCACACATCACGCCGTGAAAACACGAGAGACAAATGCGATGTCAGCTCACACTCACAGTGCCTCGTCCATCGTTAAAACAATAGAGTATCATAATAGACAATACACATCGCACACCTCTATGCACATAAAGAATTAACTTACGACTGAACTGACATTTGCCAACTTTCTTCTCTCCTCCTCTCCTGTCTCGCGTGCAGGAGACGGACGTTATTCTGCCGCGAATGTGACGCGAATTGTCACGTGAACAAGCAAATCCACAAAGATAAAAAATTAATACGTACGCAAATTAGATGGTTTTAATTTGGAAAACATTAAGATATGACTGAGTCGAAGTGTCATCTAAAATTTAAGACCTTTCATACCTAAAAATAAGACTTTATAAGACTTTTAATGGCCTTAAATTTTAAATATCTAATTTAAGACATTTTAAGACTTTTTAAGGACCCGCGGGAACCCTGTAATAATAATATAACTAACAATAATAATGTTTTCAAGCATAAAATATAATCATATCCACCAGCACCAACCTGATAATCATGTTGTTCCCACACCTCTTTTAATAATACATTTCCATTAGTTTTCCAGTTGCTTCAGTTTATTAGATAATAATTTTCTAAAGATTCAATTTTCTCACAAAAGTAAATATTTTACACTTAATTACAAATATTTATAAATGTCAATAATAGTTATAAATACAATTTCAAAAACTAAAAAAAATGCGGTGACAAAGTACGAGGTGACGCAAGCCTACCGTAAGCCTCTTCAATGAGGGCACAATAAGGGTTGAGGCCCGATCCGTTCTGTTTGGACTCTTGTTCTCCCAGTCTAAGAATGTTCTCTAGGCCGTTCAGAGCCACCTGCACAATCTTGGAGTCCATCACCGTGAGCAGGTCACACATGGGCTTTATGGTGTTGAGAGAAACCAAGTACCTGTGTGTAAAACAAAACATTACAACCATTTAAAAAGTATGCTTTAAACCCCGGAACATAGCTTTCTCTCCTATAATATATATGTAGGGTTAAATAACATATCTAAATGAGAGGGGGAAAATGTACTACATAGTAATTTAGGACTGTTTGGAACATCAGATAAAAAAATATTACTTATAAATTGGATTTTTTTCCCCTGCATTTTAACATGATTAATAGTGTTCATGTTTTTATTATTAAAGTGAAGTAAATTATTGAGTTAAATTGCCTCCCCTAGTGTTTACATTACCACAAAAAAATAATTGTGTGTGTGTGTGTGTGTGTGTATGTATATATATATATATATATATATATATACTGTATATATAAAAATCACCTTAATAATGGTCTGCTGATCTGACTATTACTGCCACCTACAGACCATAAATGTATCATACAGTTTGATCCTACTCAATGGTTTAATGAGTTTTATTAGTCTAACGCAAATCCCCTTATAATTACTAAGCTCTTTTGAGTCCTATCTTAAAACAGATTATGGGTAATGATAACCTGAGGCAGCATGTGGGTGGTTTAGCATGCGTTACATAAGCAAACTAAGATCAACATTCTCAGAACATTCAAAAAGAGTCGTCCTTAATCAGAATTAATCCTTTCAAATTCCTAGAATGAGGTAAAAAGCTAAGCAAAAGAGCCCACAGTGCACCTCATCTGCTCTGGGGTGCCTCCCGAGGTGGCGTTGGTTATTGCCCACGCGGCCTCCTTCCTGGTGCGGAACTCGGCTTTTTGCAGAATTTCGATTAGCACTGGGAATATGTTGGCATCGATCACTGCCTGCAACAGAAAAAGCATCAACTCACAGGTGTTCAGACACAATGCGTTGTGTAATAATCTTCTATTGTCAGAGTCTGGCAGAAGCACCTGGATTTGCAATCTGTTCCCAGCAGTGATATTGGAGACTGTCCAGCAGGCCTCTTTTTTGATGGATTCCTTCGGACTGCTGAGTAGATGGAGCAGGCAGGGCAGAGCGGAGCAGTTCAGAATCACCTGACATAGGACAGAGCAGCACATCAGATCAGAAAACTGCTCCTATCTTTTGACTATGTGGACAACTTAGCATGTCACAAAGGAGCTACAATACCTGGGTCTGAATATCATCTCCTGTTACAATGTTCCCCACCGCTCTCAGTGCAGGAGACACCACTTTGTAATCACTGTGCCTGTGAATGGCCAACACACATGGATTTTATGCCAAAGTCTGTGGTAAAACAGATACCACAAGGTTTATTTCTTGTGTTAGCATGCCTGTTCCTCACATGAGCAACTCAACCAGCCTGCGGCACACGCCCGAGTCAATAACTGTCTGGATTTTGTCGTTGGGTCCATCTGACAGATATGAAAGTGCCCAACAGGCATCTGCAAGAACATCAGGATCACTGCTGAAGAGCAATCTGGAGAGCACACTCAGACAGGGCGACACCTGTGTAGAAGGAACATTTGCTTTGTCAAGTATATGATCATGTTTACAGAGGAAAAATACTTGAAAAAAGACAAAGAGTGTTTGTGTGCATGACTGAAATTTGATAACTCTGCATTTAGAATGTGGTTTATCACTTTTAGAACTGGTTTGCGAGCTCACCTTTGCAAAGTCCGGAGGTGGATTTTTCCCTCTGCACAGGTTGGACAGAGCCCACACGGCGTTCCGGGTGGTAGTGAGCCGATTTGATTTGGCAAGCAACCTGCAGAGACGAGGGGAATGGGGAAAAATAAAAACCAATGTGCTACAAAATCAGACCACTAGATACAGATTCAGAGAAGAAAAGGGCATTACAGAAGCAGCCAAAGTCCACAAAAAACTGTCTTAACTTCAAAATTATTTGAAAGCCAACTGAAAAAAATAAATAAAAAATCAACAGTGACAAAAGATTCATCCGCTACAAAATGCAAAACACTTTGTTCTTGGCTTTGGCTAACTTACAGAAAAAAAAGAGACTGCAACCGGCCCATGTGAAAGCAAGGATTCAGATCGGAAGGACATTACATGAAATCACACAATGCTGACGCTGTTAATATTAACAAGTTGAGAACAAAATATAATTTGCACGGTTTTGCGTGATGAGCAATTTTTTGATTTAAACAGCGTGATTTCATTCATTCATTGAATGAACGATATGACTCGGAAAAACATTTGTTCATTTTGATGTTCAAATAGGAGTCACGAACGCGCATCACAGAACAAGGAGAATAAATTGTTAAATACTAGGTGTTTAACAGAGTTTGAGAAAACTAAGTTAAATTTAAGTTGTTACCGTTCTTGCTTTTGAATATTTTAAGTTTTGTTTTGTCATTGAGCAGTGTAGACATGCTTTAGTGTCACGATAATTGTCATTTCAGTTATTGAGGCAGACTTTAAAAGCAGAAAGAAGAGCCATTCTAAGCATTTTTATTTACCTCATTGTTTTTTCATGACAAAAACTAAATTGTTTTTCAGTTCTCTCAACTGTTATAACACTGTTACTAAATTCCAAATTGATCCATATCGTGATGCGTATCGTATCGTGGCTTTAGTATCGTGATGCGTATCTTAACATTGTTGGTGATACACAGCCCTACTAGCAGCCCTAGTTTGTCCAATTTGTTTGAAGGGCTCTTTTAAAAGCATGAAAGCAACATATATTTTCCATGTCTGCATTTAACGTCACAGCTCAAAATATTTGCTTGTTCAGGGTTCGGAACTGTGTGCGTTTGTCATTTTCCTGACATTAGGGTTTGGCAAAATATGTAAGGACCTGCGCTACTGAGATAGCGAATAGCTTCCAGCAGGTATTATACACATCTTTAAAAGCAACAAATTTAAATGCATGAAATCTCAGTTTTGGGATGAGTAGAAGGCACTCACTGCTGAAGAGAGGGCAAGATGCCACAGTTAAGGACATAGTCTCTGCACTCTGCATTATCTCCGGCAATATTTCCCAATGCCCACACAGCCTGCAAATACAGTTATACACAACAGATCACTTTAATGCTGCTGTGGAGATCTAATAAATCAGCTATTGGCTGAAAGGCATCTTTCAGACAATTTTTTTTCCAATCTGCAAATATCACCTGCTCTTGTACATCCTCATACTCAGAATTTAGCAGCTCTATGAAGATAGGCACGGCCCCAGTCTCAATGACCACCTTGGTGTGTTGGAAGGTCCCAGATGCAATGTTGGTCAGGGCCCAAGCTGCTTCAAACTGGTAAAAACAAGCAACAATACCCATCTTAAAGCTTGGCTGTAATGGCAATTTACCTTTTTTATTAGGGCTTGTAACATGACGTGTTTTTACCTGCAGAGTGCAGTTATCACTCCTTTTTAGGAATTCAACAAATCGGTTGACTACACCGGGTGTGAGGATGACCTCATCAATGGGAGGATTGGGCTCTGAGGGAAATTGATAACATCTTAATCTTTAAATTATTGTCATCCTTGAATCTATGAGACTTAGGAATGAAGACACCAACCTTTAGAAAGTAACTTTCTGAACTTCTGAGTGGCTATGAGCTGCTGGTCTGGATCCTCAGAGAACATCATTTGAATCATGTCTTGGGTTATAACTCCTTCCTGCACAAGATTGACAATAATGTTCATACTAGATGTGGGTTTTTTTAGTTTAAAAGGTCTAAAATGTATGGAGCTCCCCTAGTCCAATTTGTCAAAAAAAAAATATATATATAACTAAGATAGTTAACTTGTGGCCTCAAGATAGTAAACTCATGGCCTCAAGATAAGTAACTGGTGGCCTCAAGATAGTACCTCGTGGCCTCGGGCGAAGTACTGCTCCTTGGGCACAGATATATCACGCAACACCTGAATTAAAGCTTGCCCTATTGAACTGGCAAAAGTAATGATTATGCATGAAACATTTTTTTTTGTGTTTTCTTTGACAGTGGCTAAAAAGATACTGTTGATAATGCAGACTCGCCATCTTCATAGTATTAACACGCCTACAGAGAGAAATGTACACATCATATGAATTAGCCTACAGAAGCAGAGAGTAGCCAATTTCTTTTAGTTTTTAATTGTTTTGTTTAAAAGTACACATTTCAAGCTTTCTATAGATATACTACTTACATATTAAGTAGAAATTCAAAAGGTCTTCACAGCAACCCATCAAAATAAAAGTTTGTTTTAACTTGACAGAAATATATTACTGTTGTACAGTAGAATTTAGATATGTCCAGATGTAATAATACATTACAATACACTCATCCAAATAAATAATGAATTTTTTAAACAAAACTGAATTTAAGGAATGCCATGTTTTAATTTCAACAGTAAAGCTCATTGTGCAGCACGTTATTTGACAAAAACTTTATGATAAATGATAAAATTTGTGTTTTATGGCTTCATTTTATTACCAGCAAAAACAGAATTAGTGTGATTTTTTATATATATATATATAAAAGTTTATAATACATGATTTCAATTAATTAGACATGCTTTTTGATTGCTAAAAAATGTTTAGATGGTGTTTGACTGGATTACTTACACCTGATACAGGTACAGTGGAGCTGATATCAGGGTCTTGAATGGGGCATTCAAGCATGGACTCATCACCAGGTGGTATACACACATTCCTCCTTTTGAACAGCTACAGAGAAGGTAGAACAACTTAATTTCCTAAATTCCTATGTACACAGAACTGATATTTTAAATAAACAAATCCAATCATATATAACACTTCAATACAATTAACACTTCATGTACAATCAATCCTTCATAAACACAAACGTAATTTAATGTGTTTGTACAATAAGGAAGAAACAATGATGGCAAACCTGCTCCTCCCTCTTCTGTTTACGGAGCTGTATTCCCTCCTCCTCTCTCCGTCTTCGCATTTCCTGGGTGTTCAGGGCTTTATTCTTGTAGCTCTTCATTCGATAGTTTTCTTTGCCCGGGCTTGCCATTGCGTCTTCAGATTAGACAAAATAATTTGGTCAGATGCACATTCTGATACTCAATTTCTGTTGTCTATTCTGCACAACCACTTTGAGCCAATAGCAATGCATAAAAGATACATAACTGGTTGTGCCAGTATGCAATTCTCCTCATAATTTGAGACAAATACCATGTAAAGACCAAAGGAACGACGCGTCAAATAGGATGTAATGGTTTATCTGAAAGCAATTATGGTTGTCACATTACCCGTACACACTTTTGCATGCTGAACTTCCTTCTTATCTATTTAATCTTCTTGTTATTCAGCTTCTTTAAGAACACAGTTCAGAACAGTTTTGGGTGTAATGCATTAGTAACTGCAATTAATTACTGTGATTTAAAAAAATGGTTCACCCAAAAGTGAAAATTATGTCATTAATTACCCTCATGCCGTTCCAAACCCACAAGACACTCGTTCGCCTTCGGAACACAAATGAAGATCTTTTTGAGCGATTTCTGTCCCTCCATTGACAGCTACACAACTATTTTGACGCTTCAAAATGTTTTTAAAGAGCTCGTAAAACATAACCAGACACAATTACTTTATGATGAACAGATTGAATTTAGGATTTATTCATACAAAGATTGATCAGCAAACATAAACAGAAGCTCAACCAAACCTCTTTGATGCACAAGATGAGAACAAACCTCATTGGTATTACATTTCAGAATCCGACAGACTTTGATTAGCTGTAGGCTGAAACCATAGACTGTTAACAGTCTCAATCGTTGTCATATGTCACACATGCATTTCATAAATAGCGTTACATTTACTAAACACAGACTATATTGGAAGTATTTGTTTAATTGTTGACATGTTCTCAGATATATGTCTAGGAAACAGGCCTGTAATTACCATAGACTATATAAAACCAGACACCTCAGCTCCACCCATGTCCCGCCTCTTTTCCCATTTTCAGATTATTTGGGAGTGAGGGACAGCCAAGAGAGCGACGGCCGGTTCCGCCCACTTTGGCCTTCAAAAATGCTTTTCGGAAACCTACGGGTGACGTCACGTCACGGACACTGCGTCCATTGTTTTATACAGTCTATGTGATTAACACAAGATTGAACCTTGTTGGTTCTTAAAGAAGCTCAAAATTACTGTGAAACACACCGGAATAGACCTCATTCGTTCCTGCAGAAGCCCAATGTGCTGCATAACACACAAGAATGTACCTTGTCGGTTCTCACACCCCAGGTTGCACTTCTGTTTACCACAACTGATGTGTGAGATGATAAATGTTTTATGTGAATAAAAGCCTAAATTCAATATGTTCATCAAATAAAACGATCGTGTCTCTTCAGAACATTTGGACTAAACCGCTCAATTCATATGGATTAGATTTACGAACTCTTTATGAACTTTTTGAAGCATTAAAGTGGTAGTTGCGTAGCTGTCAATGGAGGAACAGAGAGCTCTCAGATTTCATCAAAAAGATTTTCATTTTTGTTCTGAAGATGAACAAGTCAAGGTTATTACATCTTTTATGTTCCACATTGGAAGAAAGAAAATCATACAGGTTGGGATTGGAACAACAAAACATAAAAAAAGAGATCAGTTTCATTTTTAAGAAAACCTTTCTCTTCAAGGTTCAAACCATACGTCCATCTTCTCTACTTTATAAATAATTGGTTTAACGGTAGACAAATGCAGCACTTGTAAACGGTGCTGTTTTAATCAGATCAGCTTGTTATGTATGAATATGGGAGGGCTGGACTCATTCTACACACACATTTTTTCCATACACTACATAAGCAATCATGGTTCTTATTAAAAGCAAGTTATAAGCCTGAGTACCAATAGTGATAACACACAGTTTATTTGTCTTGTCAAACAACTATATGTTCCTAGTATCCATCTATTTCTGTTGCGCATTAGAACATATTTAGTGTGCAATAGCAACCAAGACCATAAAGGTCACAAATAAAATCAGTCATATAAAGCCACAAACACACTTTTAATACATTAGAGGCTTATAATGACTTAATTCCAGCAGGCTTTTCCACTTCCATCCTAAACTGTGCTCGATGCTAACATGCTAACCGTATTATGCTAGCTTGGCATAAACGTCCAAATGTTTAATTACTCTGTCTAAAGGCCATGGTACCTTATTCTCTCCCTGAAAAGAAAAGACATGTACATCTTAGATAGTGTATGATTCTCACCCATTAGTCGTGGTTCGGAGAGGGAAACGCAGGTCGTGTGTTTTTAAATTTCTCTCAAGACCCTCCCGCGTTCTTCCAGCTGAGGGCAATATGGCGTCGACTGTTGGCGTGAACGTCACTTCCGCTGCTGCTACCGGTTTTCACGAGCGGCCTCATTCAATACAATAAATTGAAAGCAAAACGGGTTACTGTTCAAGTCAACATTTCTACCTCTAAAAAGGTAACTTACGTTGTATTCAAATAGCGATTTAACGATAGTTTCAGAGTGTATTTTTTGTTGTGTGCAGTCAGTAGAAGAAGACTTGTACATGTTATATGTTACTGTTTGTGTTTTATTCCAGTTTTGTTGATGGAATCAAAATGTCGCGCCAGTAGCGTCTTTGTAAAATCAAGATTTTAGGCCTAATAGCAGCATCTCGGAGTTTTGCTATTAGCTGATAATGACATTTTAAATGCGCCTCTTACAAAACATTACCAAGCTAAACATATCTGTTTCAGTTATGGGCTTTTGGCTGCCTATTATTAATTGTCACACAATTAAATGCGATTATAATTACCTTTATGTCTTTATAAACAAACGTTGCACGCAAATAATTGTTTAATATTAATAGCATTGTTCAGACTTTTACCATATTTACCCCCCCCCCCCATCACTTTAGTATTATTCCACTTCCCATTCACACTAATGTTTTTTAGAATAACCCTGAATATTTCATATTTTATAGTAATATATTAATTATGGTTATAGTTATTAAATATGAATATAGTGTTATGTAATACATTTTGAAGCATTTAGGTCATTCCTTCACTTTCTATTGTAATGTTAAGGCAGGACAACTAACCCACAATCAAAGCAAGATACATTAAAGTGATTGTGACAGGTCTGTACTATTGTAAAATCAGAATAAATTAATATTAGATATCCTTCAGACAGTGTAAGCTTTCAGAATCACTCTTTTTTTTTTTTGGATCTTCATTTTGTTTTTGTTTTTCCTTGATGGTAGTGGTTGTAAATTTGCCCCGGTTTTATTGTGCTAGCAAAATCTGTTGTAACCATTACATTCTGGCTGAAACTATTCTTCTGTTTGTTTTATCCAGCCTTGTGTGATGCCTGTGTGTGACATCTGCTGTGAAGAGCTCCCATCTGAAACAGAGATGAAAACCCATCTCCTCCTGAGTCACATGGAGAATGCGATGGCCTGCCCGTTCTGCTCTTTGTCTGGGGTCTTGTACGATGAGTTGAGCTTTCACATCAATACCGCACACATAGAAAAAGACTGCAAGGAAATGAATGCAACAGTGGTTGACAGTGGACAGAAAAACTCAAATAACTGGTTTGCTCAAAGTCTCAATACTTCAAGGACCTCAAATGTGAAAAATAAGCACAAGGAATCTCAGGTCTCACCCCCGTCATCTGGCCACCCTTCACCTTTTCAGGACAATGTGATGGCCAATCCAATTACTGGGACCACCCTTTCTCAGGAAACCTCCACTAGCTTGAAGAGTTCACCACCTTCTGCTGCCACAGCGAATGGTGCAATAAAACTGGTCAGGACTACACAAACACCCAGCACTAACCCCAGAAGAGAGAGAGAATATGGGCATCGAAAATCAAAGCAGAAGCGCTTGTCCTCACCTAATAAAGGTGCTCTTGACTTTACAACATAAAACTGATTTTACAGTAATGGCTAATACTTTTCCCTTTTGTGTGTTGCAGAAGGGCAATTTCCATGTCCAATGTGCAGTTTGGTCTGCAATGACTGCTTTATTCTGCAGGAGCATGTTGAGCTTCATTTACAGGACCAAGGTGTGACTGAAGGTGTCTTAGCTCAAAACATCAAGAATATTTGCATGTTTACAAAGTAATGAATAGTTTACTTTATCCTGTTTTTATCACTAACGGTCTATGATTGATGTCTGATATTGTTTGGCCTCTCAAGGGGCTGATCCTGATGTTGCCACTTCAACAGAAGCATCTTTTACAAGCAATGGCAGATCAGGTGAGTTAGCAAGGATATGGCAGCTCTGCTCATTTAAAAAGTGAATGACCAAACTAAACTGTAACTGTATAATTGGAATCTCCAGGTGTGATACGTTATGAGTGTCCAATGTGTTCTTTGAGCTGTTCCAGCAGCACCTCCCTGCAGGAGCATGTTGAGCTACACCTGGAATACGACTCAGCATCTGCAACAGGTATGTGGATATTATTATTATTAAGTACACAAAAGCATATGAAATTTTTCATGGAATTGTTTGTAAGAGTTGCAACCTAAATTCTGTTGGTTGTCTTCACAAGTACAATGCATCAAGAAAAGACACTACTGGCACAGCAAAACTGTGTTTTTTTGTTTAAATATCTGACTTGATGTTCACTTGGTTTGGGTGTTTTAAGGACATTCATCTGGAGACCTGAATCTGGCTAGGAAGCTTCAGGAGGAAGAGGAGCAAAAGTGGAGGGAGCTAAAGAGCAGACGGGAAGCTGAGGACTTTAAGAAGCTCCAGGTAAGCTACAGACATCTTCACTGTTAGAATTCAAGGAAATGTGCACCTAAAATATTAAAATTCTGTAATTAACTCACCTTTGTGTTGAATCCATCGAAAAAAAAAAAATCTTTCATTTTATCTTCCTGTGGTTTTTAGAAGCAGTTTGGGCTTGATAACAGTGGTGGTTATCGCAAGCAAATGGAGAGGAATATGGAGAGGGCTGTGTCTAGAGGTCAGATGGTTCCTGCAGAGTTCCACAGGAAAAGAGTGGAGATGCTTGAATCTCTGGCCTCGGGGGTGGATGATGGCAGAAGCAAAACATCAGGTCAGATAGGGACTTTATCATAGTTATACTACTAATCTACACATAGTTGGTCCAGTTGGTAAATTATTGGACTGAAAATCTGTCCAGTTCTGTATCTTTATAACTGATTTAAATTTACAGTACTGTTCAAAAGTTAGTCTCTTATGCTCATCAAGACTGCATTTATTTGATCAAAACTACAGTAAAAACATAATGTTGTGAAATATTTTAAATTTAATATTAAACAAATAAAATTTTGTTGATTTTCTAAAATGTTATATTTATTACTCCAGTCATTCTAATATGCTGATTTAGTGCTCAAGAAAAATGTCTTATTATTATCAATGTTGAAAACAGTTGTGCTGCTTAATATCTTTATTGAAACCATGATACATAAAAAAAGGCAAAATTATTAATGTTTTTACTGTCACTTTTGATCATTTTAATGTCTCCTCGTTGGATAAAATGTATTAATTAAAAAAAAAATCTTACTGACCCATACTTTTAAATAGCGTATGTATTTTTTAAATTAATTATAGATGATTAATTTTTGTTTTTAAATATATTTTTAATAACAATCATTTATTATTGTTGTTGTTATTTTTTTAAGTTTATAATCATTATATATATATCTGTAAGAAATGAAGCTGCATAAAGCAACTGAAGGTTTGGATTTAGCTGATTAACCTTTCTGTTTCAGGAGTTATGGAAGCTCTGTATAGGTATTACCAGAGGGACGCCTCCGACTTTTCGCATGTGTGGCTCTGTGCTGAGACTGATCACTACTCCTCTTCGGAGGGGGACAAAGGTTGGGGATGTGGCTACAGAAACTTCCAGATGCTTCTTTCATCTTTGCACAGGATGGAGCAGTATAATCTTTTACCTGGTACAACATCAGCAACATCATGTATTTTCTTAGCTCCTTGTTGAGTAGTACCTATCATAAAATGTTCCTTCAGTTTCAGTTCCCAGCATCCCGAGAGTGCAGGCCATGATCGAGGAGGCGTGGGCTCAAGGCGCAGATCCTCAGGGTGCTTCACACTTCAAAAATCGACTGCAGGGGACACGGGCTTGGATAGGAGCTACAGAAATCTATGCAGTTCTCACCTCCCTTAGTGTGAAGTATATATTGAAATCCCAAGTTTACATTCACACATAAAAGTTTGGGGTCACTAAGATTTTTGTTTTGAAAAAAAAAAAAAAAACGTTTATTCAACCAGGGTGCATTAAATTCATTAAAAATGTCAGTAATGAAATTCCAAGTTTACATTCACACATACACTCACCCAAAAGGATTATTAGGAATAGTACTAATACTGACCCCCTTTTGGCTTCAGAACTGCCTTAATTCTATGTGCAATTGATTCAACAAGGTCTTGAAAGTATTCTTTAGAAATGTTGGTCCATATTGATAGGATAGCATCTTGCAGTTGATGGAGATTTGTGGGATGCACATTAACCACGACGCATTACAACACCACCACCAGCCTGCACAGTGGTAACAAGGCATGATGGATCCATGTTCTCATTCTGTTTACACCAAATTCTGACTCTGAATGCATTGAAACAATTGCCATGTTATTGGATAACTGCATTAATGAGAAATTGAACAGGTGTTCCTAATAATCCTTTAGGTGAGTATAAACTAAAAGTTTGGGGGTCACTAAGATTTTTGTTTGAAAAAAATGAATATGTTAATTCAACAAGTGGGCATTAAATTAATTAAAAATGTCAGTAATGACGTATGCATTGCTAAAAAAAATCTATTTGAAATAGATTTTTCTTTTGAACTTTGTATTCATCAAAGAATCCTGAAAATATTTATATATTGCTGTTTCCTCAAAAAAATGTGTTGAGCACCAAATCAGCATATTAGAATGATTTCTGAAGAATCATGTGACACTGAAGACTGGAGCAAGGATGCTGAAAAATTAGATTTGACATTACAGGAATAAATTACATTTAAAAAAATATTGCAATAAAAAGTTCCTTTCAAATGTTAAAATATATCATGAACGCAACATTAGTGAGCACAGAAGACTTATTTCAAAAACATTACAAAATCTTTCTGACCCTAAACTTTTGAACAGGACAGTTCATTTACATGCTTAAATAATATTCATTTCATATCTTAAATTTCCTTCATTTTTAGAGCCCGGATTGTGGATTTTCACAAGCCCACAGGCCCAGGAGACACACACCTCAGAATGTTTGAGTGGGTAAAACAATATTTCTCACATTCTGCCAGTAGGAGTGCAAGACTGCCACCCAAAGTAGTACAAACAACATTACCACCTTTATACCTCCAGC